GAATGGTAGCCTCGTCTCCCGGCAGAACGTGATCTGGGTGGGGGTGGGGAAGGGCGGATTTCTCCGGGAATGGTTGGGTCGGGGGCGCATTACTTCTGCTGGGCGCTCTCCGCTGGGACATTTCTCAGCAGATTTCAGTGCTTGAGGGCAAGGCAGGGGAGTAGTTGGAGCTGGAGGGTGGAACGCAGAGAGTCTTTTGGAAATTACTCTGCCGAAACCGGTGTGGTTTCACACCGATGTGAAGGTCGTTTTAATTTTGGAAGATAATGCAGGCACGAGATTTTGCAATAACTTTCCCAGGGTCACCCAGTTAATAACAGCCCGGAATCCAATTGAGACCCTCTTGTACCAAAAAACCATGATCTTAACCGCCCTGTTGTCATTATAATAATGGTTATACTTAGCACTTGCTATATGCCAAGCATTGTGCTGAGTGGTCTATGTAAACGAATTCATTGAAGTCCCACAATTACCCTAGGAGATAGGTTTCCCTTGTTATACCCATTTTAAAGATGAGAACACTGAAGTAACATGTCTAAGGCCACATAGCTTGTGAATAAGGAATGGGGATTTACACGTAGAATTTGGCTCTGGACTCTACATATTGTGCCCCTGTCCAAGGCCACCTCTGTGGCTGAGTGACCACGCCCACCTTGGTCCTTTGACTCCCACACCTACCCTTCCCTTGCCTGTGTGACTCCTTCCCCACTTCAGTCCCTGCACAATTGTGAAACCTTAGGGCCATCTAAACTACTGTTCCCTCCTTCAGCTGGTCACCAATCTGGTGCCACCAAGAGCTTAACAATTTGTTCAGCTCTGACTGCATGTCAGGCCCAGTGCCAAGTTCTTCATCCATGCCTAGGACACAGGTTCTGTTTATTATCATCGTCCTAATTTTTTAAATGAAAAAGATGAGCTGCAGAGAAGCTGTTGTTTGTCCAAGATGGCACATCTAGCACATGGTAGTCCTGAAACTGAATGTCTGTAATGCTGGAGTCCATGCTTAACTACTACACTTTTTGTCTGCCCTGCTCTCACCTAAATTTTATTAGTTCTTATCCCTAATGTCCGTTCATTGATTCATTGATTCATTCAGTAAACGTGTATTCGGCATTTGGTGTGTGCAGTGCACGATTCTAGGCACTAGTGATACAGCAGTGAACAAAATAGACAACGTACCTGCTAAGATCTGATTTTTTTTTTTTAATGTTTTTGTTGGGGAAAGCAGACAAAACAAGTAAACCATGTTTGGGTGGTAAGTGCTACAAGACAAATAAAATCAGGTCAGGTGGAGACTGACTTTTTTATATTAGTATATTTAAGGAAGACTGCTGATAAAGTGGTATTTGAATAGAAATCTGAAGAAAAAGAGGGCGGGAGCTTCCTGGATATCGGTGGGACATTCCAGGCAGGAGGAACAGCAGGGGCAAGCGCTCTGAGAAGGAAGTATGCCATGAGAATTCCAGGACTAACAAGGAAGTTGGCACAGTTGGAGTGGAGCGGTTTGATGGGAGAATGGTAGGAGATGAATGTTTCTCCAGTAGATCATCTTTTAGTTTCGTCAGCCATAGGCCAGACTCTCCTTGGCTAGCTCTGGGGGACCTGTTCCAGTGCTGCCTACCAGGCCATTCTGCCAGGTGTTCCCTGTCCTGCCAAGTCTTTAACTTTAGCTGGTTTCACAGGACTCAGTGCCATCCTGAATTTGAATGAGCTGGAGAAACCTGGGAGCTTGTAAAACATGCGGCTCTTAGGGTCCCACCCCAGCCTCTGGATGTATGAGCAACACAGTGGAGGAGTTTGAGTCCGTCGATCACATTTCAAGGAATACAGGCATTTCAAGGAATACAGGCGGAGACAACAAAGTCTGCCCCTTGGGCATAGCAAGTCCTCTGAGATCTGGTCACTTCCCGTTCCTCCAATCCCATCTTGAACCTGCCTTCTCCGCTGTACTGCAGGGTTTCGCACCTTGGCGCCTTGGATATCTTGAATGCCTTAAATCTTTGTGTGGCGGCTGTCCTGTGTATTGTAGGAAATGTAGCCCGTCCCTGGCCTGTACTCACTAGAAATACGTAGCATCCTCTCCCAATTTGTGATCACCAAAAATGCCTCCAGGCTTTGCCAAATTTCCCCTGGGGGTCAAATCGCCTCTGACTGAGAACCAGTGCTTTGCCCTGCCTGCACACATCCGGGAGGTATACCGTACTGCCTTTGCGCCTGTGGGTTCTTCTAACTTGAAATACATGCCACCTCTGCTTCTGTCGGCTTCCCTCAGATGCTCCTTACCTTTTAAGATCCACTTCATGATAACAGTGGTGGCCGCTCTCTGTGTGGCGCTGTGTGGTTTGTGGAGCATTTTTCCTTCCTGCATGCTTCTCTGACTAAACCCGTCACGAGTAACCCTTCCTTGCAGAATCCTGGCCCTAATGCTGCTTTGTTAGCTTTTCTGCTGCCAAAATAATCAACCGGCAGGTTGAGAAATGATCATCATTCCCCACTTTTTCTAAACCAGTGAAATGGGTGCCAGGACTCACATTACACCAGGGGCTCTTTCCATCCCAGGGTTTCCAAGTATATACTTAGGCGGTTCTGCGGATGGTTAAAGGCCTCTCATATAGAAGGGAGTTTTACCTGGGGCAGAGGTATAGGAAGATAAATTTCAATTCAGTACGAGAAAGAACTTTCTGGAAGTCAGGACTTCCTCCGTACCAGAGGGACTTGGGGACTCTTTCCATCCCAGGGTTTCCAAGTATATAAGGCCCTTTGTTTTAACATCACAAGTTTCATGAAATCCTCCTACATGATATTAACTTTCTTGAAAGAAAAAGGACAGTAGAAATGGACTATAAGTTCAGTATCTCTTATGTTTAAATTTGTTTCTACTGTGTAACATTCACACATATTTGAAAAATTAGGCCAACTATGTCCAAACCACATGTGTATTCAGCCTACGAGTATGCTCCCTCTTCTGTGCTCACATCCGGTCCAGGGATGTGAGACACAGTTGGAATTCCAACTCACACACTTAAAAAGTAAGAAACTGAACATCCTGAGCTGAGTGTCTGCCCTTCTCATCTGTAAAATGGGCATAATCACATATATTAGCATCTTTCATGGCCTTGGATGCTTGCTTATTTGTGGATCTGCATGTCTCCTCTCACTGTCTGTGAGCTCTGATTTGTCAGATCTTCCAAGCACTTAGCATAGCGTTTTGTATATCACAGGCTCTTGAAGATGTTTGTGGCCAACTCTCCAAAAGGTCTGTAGGCAAGACAGACAAATGTCTTTTCAAAACTTGGTCTCAGAACATCCAGATTTTTAAAATGTTAGATATTATATGTTATATGTCCCATTGAAACAGTACATTTTTGTTGCTCCATACGACATATCCTGTGGAAGTTGTTAGTAGCCATCTCCTGGTGTTACCTCTACCACCTCTTTTTCCATAAGGTTTCTTAAGTATTTTAATTAAAAACAAAATCATCGGAGAAAAACACAGAAGCTCAACTTTGGTGCTTTAAGCCGAGTCTTATGTAACATTGAGACAGGTAGACAAGGGCAAGACTCGTGCATAAAAAAAGTGTTTATTTCCATAAAATGGTGACAGCCCTCCAAGCCGTTTGTGCCTTGTTTGTCTTTGGGTCGCATGGTGTAGGTGGCTGGAAGTTAGGCTTTGACAGATGGGGTCACGTGTGTGAACAGAGTGTTGGTGTAGTTCGTTTTGAGCAAAGGCACCGTGTGGTTCAGCGGAGAAAGGAACCCAAGAGCTGACCTGTGAGTTCTGCCAGCAGGGGCTAGCGCTTGCCTGTGTGGGAGTGACTGTGGCTGCTAGTGTGGCTAGTTGGGTGCACTGGGCATTGCTTTACTTAGGCGGTTCTGCGGATGGTTAAAGGCCTCTCTTATAGAAGGGAGTTTTATCTGGGGCAGAGGTATGGGAAGATAGATTTCAATTCAGTACGAGAAAGAACTTTCTGGAAGTCAGGACTTCCTCTGTACCAGAGGGACTTGGGGAATCACACTCAGAGGGGCTTCCCCCAAAAGAATTCCTGGACATATCACATAACTGCCCTGATCTTGCTGCTCAGGAGCCCTGCTGCCCCACACACGCACCTGTCCCATTCCTTAAGAAGCAGGCACCTGGTGTTACTAAGATGTGTGGAGTATTTCTAATATATGTGATTATGCCCATTTTACAGATGAGAAGGGCAGACACTCAGCTCAGGATGTTCACAGTTTCTTACTTAAAAAGTGTCTGAGTTGGAATTCCAACTGTATCTCACATTCCTGGACTCAATGCTTATAGAATATTAGGCATTCTATTTTTAATTGATTTTTAGATAGAGAGAGAGCAGAAGCGAGGGAGAGAAAGAGAAAGAGAGAGACATTGATTTGTTCCACTTATTTATGCATTCACGGATTGCCTCTTCTATGTGCCCTGAGCAGAGATCGAACCCACAACCTTGGCATATCGGGATGACACTCTAACCAGCTGAGCTACTGGCCAGGGTTTGTAGAATATTGACGCTGCGTTTTATCAGTTATAAAATGCCTCCATACACACACACTGCTGGGAGAGGTATTGAGCTCTATATATGCAGAGGGTCCACACAGGATAGGCTGGGTAGCAGCTGGTTGGGGATGTTTTATTTTTATTTATTTATTTATTTTAATACATTTTATTGAGTTTTTACAGAGAGGAAAGGAGAGAGATAGAGAGTTAGAAACATCGATGAGAGAGAAACATCGACCAGCTGCCTCCTGCACACTCCCCACTGGGGATGTGCCCGCAACCAAGGTATATGCCCTTGACCGGAATCGAACCCGGGACCTTTCAGTCCGCAGGCTGACGCTCTATCCACTGAGCCAAACCGGTTTCGGCATGGTTGGGGATGTTTTAGAGGAGGTTCACATGTTTGCGACTTGTTGGATTAGATGGCATTTAAGGTCTCTTCCAACTGTTTCATGTCATCATCAGTCTTTTGTTCAGATTTGAAGGACACTGAGTGTTCTTGCTTAATTATACTGATTAGATAATTATTTTATTCCAGTGAAGAAAATATTTGGAAGCTCTGTGAATACATCAAGAACCACGACCAGTATCCCTTAGAGGAATGCTACGCTGTCTTCATATCTAATGAGAGGAAGATGGTAAGTTGGCAAGTGACTGCGGAAAGAAAACAAGAGATTTAGGACATTAGATGCTAACTATAGAGTGAGTTTAATACTGTTTTAAAATGTGCTCTGTAAAATACAGCAGCATCTTAACATTTGTTTTTGGATGAGTTTTTTTACCTTCCATGGTACGGTTAAGAGAGTTTAGGTTCTCACTTGTAGGTAGGGAAATATGTGATGGTGTGTTCACACAGATGAAATTCCTTTTCTCTAGGAGTTTAAGTAGAACTACAGTGAACATATATGAAGTATTAAATAAAAGTCCTTCCTGTTTTATTTTATTTTTTTTAAAATATATATTTTATTGATTTTTACAGAGAGGAAGGGAGAGGGATAGAGAGTTAGAAACATCGATCAGCTGCCTCCTGCACACTCCCCACTGGGGATGTGCCCACAACCAAGGTACATGCCCTTAACTGGAATTGAACCTGGGACCCTTGAGTCCGCAGGCCGATGCTCTATCTGCTGAGCCAAACCGGTTAGGCAGTCCTTCCTGTTTTATAAAGCATGTTTGCAAGGATCGCCTCATTTGATCCTAATGGGAACCCTGTGAACTAGGCAAGTTTCAGACAATGGTCTCCGTTTTATAGGTGAGGAAATAGAGACTCCGGGAGGTTTCATGAATAATTAAGTGGAAAAGCAAGACTTGAACCTGCCAGGCCTTCTGATTCCTCATTCAGGTCTCCTTCTACTCCCTAAGGACCATCGTATAATTAATTTTTGCTTTTTCATTTTTAAGGACCCTTAGACATATTTGGATTTCTTTTTTTTTTTTTTTTAAATATATTTTATTGATTTTTTACAGAGAGGAAGGGAGAGAGATAGAGAGTTAGAAACATCGATGAGAGAGAAACATCAATCAGCCACCTCCTGCACACTCCCCACTGGGGATGTGCCCGCAACCCATGCACATGCCCTTGACCGGAATCGAACCCGGGACCCCTCAGTCCGCAAGCTGACGCTCCATCCACTGAACCAAACCGGTTTCGGCCATATTTGGATTTCTTACCCACTTGTTCTTTCACCTGGATTGTTGGTTCTTAGAAATATTTTATTTTTTGTGTATGTGTTGCTTTAAAGAATTTAGTGGTGGTTTAGCTAAAAGGGTGGCTTATGCAATTTATTGTTTTTGTAGATTCCTATCTGGAAACAGCAGGCAAGACCTGGAGATGGGCCTGTGATCTGGGTAAGATGGTCAACACAGAGAGCGTCTGATGCATTATTAGTACGGTGATCCCTGAGGGCTCTTTAAGTTTTGGTAGAGCAGAAAGGATAGGGCAGTAGAGAAAGGCTAATTATAAATAGGCTTTTGAGAATAGATGTTGGTTGGCCTAAGGTAGAAGCGCTTACAGGCATGTTTGTTTTAATTTTGAAATTATTACAGGAATGATTTTAGTTTTTGTTTTGTTGTTTTTATTAATCCACATCTGAGGATATTTTTTCCATTAATTTTTAGAGAGAGTGGAAGGGAGGGGGAGAGACAGTGAGAGAAAACATCATGTGAGAGAGACACATCAATTCGTTGCCTTCCGCATGTGTCCTGACCAGGGCCAGGGATCAAGCCTGAAACCGAAGTACATGCCTTTGATCAGAATCAAACCCAGGACCCTTCAGTCTTCGGGCCAATTCTCTATCCACTGAGCAACACTGCCTAGGGCATTACAGGAATGACTTTAAATGGTCTGTGTGGCAGATATATTTGTGACCTCCCAGACTACTATCTTTTTAGCACTGGGAAGGACTTTAGCAATATCTAGGCCAGCTGCACATGAGAATTATCTGGAAACTGTGTTAAAAATACTGTACAGCCCTGGCTGGTTTGGTTCATTGGATAGAGCATCAGCCTGGTGACTAAAGGGTCCCAGGTTCGATTCCAGTCAAGGGCACATGCCTGGGTTATGGACTCTATCCCCAGTAGGGGGCATGCAGGAGGCAGCTAATCAATGATTCATTCTCATAGTGAATTCTATCTCCTCCCTCTCCCTTTCCCTCCTCCTTCCTCTTTGAAATCAATAAAAATATGTTAAAAAATACTGTACAAATTTCTGATATGGTTGATCTAGAGAAGGATTTAGGAATTAGCATTTTTAGCAAACTCCTGAGTGAACATGATGGCATCGGAAAAACACATCTGTTCCAACCCCTTCATTTTTCAGGTGAAGAAACAAGCCCAGAAAGGCAAAGCGAGTAGCTCAAGGCCATCTAGCTGGTCAGTGGCAGAACTGGGTGTCAGGCCTGGGTCCTTTCCAGTATGCGTCGTGCGTCACCCTAACCTGGCCCCCGGAAGGACAGAGTTGTTTATGCTAGTAACCATGAAGATAAAGTAAAAGAAAAGCTCCATTCATGACCATTTAACGAACATGTAGTTTCTGATACTTATTTAAAATAAGATACCATTTGAATTGGCTTCATTGATTTATTTAACATATATTTGTTGGATACCTATTACCGTTATATGTCAGGCACAAAACAGGCTAAAGTCCTTAGCTTCACAGAGCTCACGTTTTCGCTTCTTTCCCCTGCGGGGGATGTGCTGCTCTGACCCGAAAGCCCAAATCCAGCAGTGTTGGGTGTTGGGTTAGGAGCTCGGGTTTAGTTAGAGTCAGACACAATGGGGTGCAGCCCCAGTCTCCCATTGATGGCTGTGTGAACTGGACGTGTTGGGTACCCCTTTTTTCAGTGTCCTCTCTGGTCAGTGGGTTTGGGAGGCTTAGATGAGGTAATGCAGGAAGCATTATCCAGGTATTCGGTACGGTGCCTGGTACTGTGCTCGATAAGCCGTAGCTATTGTTGTTAGCGACACCGCATAACCCCTGTTGCAGATGGTCCATCTCATTAATGACCATCCTCATTAATGACCCACTCAGCTGATTTGAGTCAGGGTCTTGCTTCCCATCTTAGGGAAACTTGCAGGGCAAGGACCTGTGGTCATGTCCCTCTTTTTAAAAGCATTTACCAATAAATAAATAAGTAGATAAGTAAATAAAATAAGGCATTTACAGACATAATCTCATTAGTCCTCCCAGTACTCTCTGAGGTACATGCTACAGTTACCTTCATTTTATAAAAGGGTAACTGAGGCTGGTAAGTAGAAGGGCTTGATTAGGCGAGCCACCTTCAGAATGCCCTTACTGCTTGCTCTCCTGCCTCCTGCAACCATTGACTTGTGTTTCCCACTCACTTCTCTGGGAACTCCCTGAGGGTGAGGAGCTGTCGTTCTCACCTCTGTATCTATATTTCAACAGCACAGTTTCTCACAAACAATAGGGAAGGGAGTGTGTACTGCAAAACAATTGTAACACGAGTTAGATGTCAAGAGAGAAACAGATTTTAGAAGGTAGCTATGCTCACCACTATACCACCAACACCTTGAGAAACAGAATTTGGATGAGGCAGAGACTGCTGCTGGCAGGGGATGGGAGAAGATTAAAACAACACGAACTTATGGGAAGAGAGCCTTTGAGTTGGAGCTTGAGTGATGGGCGTGGAGAGAACCTGGGGAAGGTTGCTGCAGATGGGGGGTGGGGATAAGATGAATAAGCGCAGGGAAAGGAAACCAGACTGTTATGGGGGAGCCACGCTTCGATTAAACCTGGAGGGTCAGATGCATTAGGAGAGGAGTCCAGGGAATGAGCATCCATTTCTGAAGCTGTTTCTGCTTTCCTAAGATAGAATTGGAGCCAGGGGAAGCACTTTAGGCTCTAATGGTACATCTCGGGTCTCAGTAAATGAATGATCTTTCCCACCTCACAGAGTCAAATGAAATAACATTTGAGAAAATGCTTTATAAGCTCTGAAGTACTAGAAACGTAACATGATATTATGAATGTTATCCTAATACTAGAGGCCTGGTGCATGAAATTTGTGCACTGGAGGGAGGGGGTGGGTTCCTCAGTCCAGCCTGTGCCCCCTCACAATCCAGGACCCCTCGGGGGGATCAGGCCTAAGCTGGCAGGTGGACATCCCTCTCGTAGTCCAGGGCTCTCACAGTCTCAGACCCCTTGCTTCTTACCGCTCACCTGCAGCGGAGGTGGGAGAGGCTCCTGCCACTGCTGCTGCGCTCGCCAGCTGTGAGCCCAGCTTCTGGCTGAGCGGTGCTCCTCCTGTGGGAGCGCACTGACCACCAGTGGGCAGCTCCTGTGTTTAGCATCTGCCCCCTGGTGGTCAGTGCATGTCATAGCGAATGGTCATTCTGCTGGTTGTTCCACTATTCAGTTGATTTGCATATTAGGGTTTTATTATATAGATAACTGAACTTTTAATCTTGCAGTGCTGTTCTCTGTGATAGTGTTTTTGCTTTGAGGAACTCAAAGCACCGAACTGCCCTCATGTTCCTTGATAACCACCCTGACATCCCTTCCAGCAGTGCCTGGTGTCGGGGAGTGAGAGTGAGGATTCACGTACAGTGTCCGAGCTGTGCGCACAAAGCTCTCTTTATTCCTTAATGGTTACACATGAGGTTTTAGCTGATTGAAACAAGACAAAACAAAAAAAAAAGCCAACCAAAAGCCAACATTTTTATTTCTTTTAGCTACCAATCTAGTATAAAACAGTCCCCTTTGTTAAGAGTTGGGAGGATATTCTTGCAGACTCTATCCTCTGTATTCATATGCATGCATATGTACTTCTGAATGCATGTGTGTCCACATAAACTTTAAAAACATAATATGCATATTCTGCAATTTGCTTCTTCCACCCAGCTATATATAACATGGACATTTTTCTGTTTCCACATAAATTTACCCAAATGTTTTTAACAGCTACTCCATCCTATGGCTGCATGCATCACTGCTTGTGGTGGGCTTTTGTTTTTTTCTGAATTTCCACTATTATAAACAGATTTTATATCTGTATAAATACACACACACACACACACACACACACACACCTTTACTTGAGTATTGCCATTGCTCTCTAGGGTGGATTCCTCGAGGTAAAATTGCTGGGTCAAGGAGTTTCTGATATATATGAACATTTCCACTGTCTATTGAACTGTTCCCTGTCACTGGGCATTTGGTCTGTGTTCAGGATTTTGTGTTTGCTTTATTTTATTTTGCTCTTACAAAGAGGGCTATATTTGTCTTGTATCTGTTCTTGGGGCTGTATACGCATTATATCTCAGACAGCCGTGGAATTCACCATCATAGAGTAACTTGGTTAAGTTCCGCAAACTTTTACCTCCAGGATTACCATGTTGTCTTGCTTCACGTTTCAAGTGGAGGACAGAGCTTCATTTATGATCTCGACACTGTCCTGCCATTTCCCTGCCTCTTCGACGCTTATGTGGAAGATGCCTTTAAGTCCGATGAGGACATCCATCCCCAGTTTAGAAGGTGAGGAAATTCAGGGGGAGTTTTCCTACTTTCTGACGTGAGGCCTTGACAATGATATAGAGTTGTTTTGTGTCCTTTTGCATTTGCTTAGTAAAGATTGCTTATCTTGGCGTCACCATTGAGTTGATATTTGAGGATGATGTGCTACACAGAAGATAAAAAATGTTTCAAAGTTTTAAAGGTTGTCCATTGTATAAAAGGTTGACAGTCTTTTAGAAATGTGTGTGATAAGATCTCAAACATTTTCTTAGTCATTTGGGGGATTTCTCTCATCCTCTTGCTTTTGAGGGGGTGGTGGGGTGTGTGTGGTGTGGGGATAGGATGCCTTATGATGCCAAAGTTGAGAAGGCCGTCATGGCAGCACCGGAAAATAAAAAGTTTTGCCCCCGATACCAGATGTATTTCGTGCCTTTGTAGCTCTGGATTTCGTTTGCTCATTTCTCATGGCTTCTTTGAGAGGTAACAAGCCACACACACACACACACACACACTTGCATATTATTAATAGTACAAAAATGCCTGCTTAGTTTTGTGCATGTCATAGAAAATGAGTACAAAAAATGAGCTAGAATTTCAACTGTGATATCTCCCTGCGATCAATGAATGCTGATTTATCTGCAGGAAATTTAGAGTTATCCGCGCAGATTCTTACTTGAAGAACTTCGCTTCTGATCGATCTCACATGAAAGATTCCAGTGGGAACTGGAGAGAACCTCCTCCGTCATATCCCTGCATTCAAACTGGAGGTGAGCCAGCGACGCGACCTTGGAAACATTGCCAGTCCCTGAGCAGATCAGCCTTTTCCCTTAACCAAGGACAAAAACCTCACTGCTTTTTGGGTAAACCCTCTGAGTGGTAAAGAAGTGAGAGGAAGCGTGGTTCTGTGTTTTTATTAGATTCAGAAATCGAGGCACAGAGCACAGGACTGGAAGGCATAAGGCCTCATGGGAGAGGAAAGGTGTAGGGAGTAGACTGTGCCACCTGCAGTATTGGATATACTTACTGCTGGGACACTGCCTTTAGGAGACCTGCCTGTTTGTGCCATTTAACACTGGGGCTGGTGGCACCTTGCTGTGGTAGGGCTTCATGTTATGGTGGAAAAAATCGCCAGAGCATCCCGGTGATGAAGTGTCAGATCCCTGGCGCTAGAACAAAATCTGCATTAGGAGGAGGTGAGAGCTAGCAGGTTTTACTGTACCACTCACCCAGTTTTATGTGCTTTTAGGCATCAGTCCAGTTAATAATTCCTTGAGATTTGAGTAGATGAAGAGTTCTTCACCCTAGTACTATTGTTTGGCATTCACATGAGTTGAAGCATTATTTATGGTGGAGAGTAATTCACGACATTGCCATTGATTGGTGAGGTCATCCCCTCACATGGCTGATACTGTCTGTGAAAGTGCTCTGTAAGCTGTGCCACAGCCAGAAAAGTGGAGCAGAAATAAAAAATATTCAGAGTTCAGCAAGGAAGAAAGTAAGAGCATATTTGGCATATTTGAAGGGAGTGAACTAAGAGAGGAATCAAATTCTGATTTTTGAGGGTCTCTGTGAGAAGCTCTCGTAATTTAAAAAATGTATATTGGGCTTGCTTTTTGGTTCACCAGCCTGCCTTCCAGGCTCAGCATCAGAATTGGGACCGAGCCTTGGTTAGGCGAGGGCTTCCCAGGCCTACCTTTCAGTCTTGGACAGCCTGCTGTAGGGGGCGTGGTCTGGGGCAATGTGCTTTGTCAGCTTCCCGTCTCATGGATGTGAACTCAGAGCCTTGTGCATAGCAGACGTTCAGGAAACACCACCTCCTCAGCCCTGATGCTCTTTGAGTCATTCCTTAGGGTTTGATGACTACTGCCCTGTCATGAGTGCTGTTTTGTGCCGGGCTTTGTGCCATCCCCTTTACATATTAATTTACTTCCCACCACAGCTCAACGAGTTCAGCTTTATTTTCCACATTGGATAGATGCATAGACTGAAGTGTGTGAAGGTTGAGCCCTTTGCCTCAGGTGCATGGCTAGAAAATGGTGGGGTCAGCACACTGTGCTTAAGAAAGGTTTTTTTTATGGGGAGGAGGAGGTGTCTTTTTTTTAATGCTACACACACTCTTTTTTTTAAATGTTTTTATTGATTTTTAGAGAGAAAGGAAGGGAGAGGGATAGAGAAATGGAAACATCAGTGATGTAAGAGCATCATCGATCGGCTGTCTCCTGCACTGGGGATCAAGCCCACAGCCTGAGCATGTGCCCTGGCCGGGAATCAAACCAGGATCTCTTGGTTCATAGGTTGACATTCAACCACTGAGCCACACCGGCTGGGCGATTGATCTTAAATAAGAATACCTGAAGATAGTAATAATTTTTTATTTAATTATATTAAAGGGCCCAGAAAACAAATACTATTATATGTTAGAAGTTGAGGTTTCCGTTAGCAATTTGTTAAAAATGTTAGTTGACCTACTTACTGACACACATGGGTCATGGTATCGATCCCAGGTAAGCAAGAGCTTTGGCCCATCTCTCCTTGAGGGTCCTGCCTGTGCTTTATTTCGGGTACTTGGTCATCCTGCAGCCCCAGCTTTCTGATGACTTCAGTGAAACTGCTGGTTCTGCTAATTATCTAGTTGTTTTTGTTGTAATTTCTTGTAATTTATTTGTTGAAGAAACAGTCTGGATTTTCCTACTGGCGTCTCTTTGTATCCTCTGAATTTCCTGTAAATTGGCAGTTTGGTTATTCACGCATTTTTTTTTAAATTTAACTTTATTTTTAAATAACTTTAGACTTCTAGAGAATTTGCTAAAATAGAACAAAGTTCCTATATACATTTTACTCAGATTCTGAGTAAACTGTAATGTAATCATTGAAACCAAGAAAATTATACAATTGATAAGAAAAATACTGACATAATACTATGAACTTAGTATGTAAATTTTGCAAGATTTCCCACTAACGTTTTTTTCTGGTCCAGGCCGTTAGGTTTAGTTATTATGTCTCCTTGATCTCCTTGAATCTTTGACAAGTTCTTTCTTTCTCTTATAAGTTTTAAACTTTTGAAGAGTACTGGTCAGTTATTTTGTAGGGTATTCCTCGGTTTGTGTTTGTGTACTGTTTTGTCCTGATTAGATCAAAGTTTCACATTTGCAACAAGAATACCACAGCAGTGATGTTGAACCCTTACCCATTTGAATAAATCCCCCTACTTTTGGTCTTCTGGGTGGTTTTTATTGCTGTTAAACCCAAATTGTGTTTTCAGTGGACATTTCTTTCATGTACTTTTTTAGATTCCAAAATGAACCTGAATGATTTTATCAGTATGGATCCCAAGGTAGGGTGGGGAGCTGTTTACTCGCTGTCTGAATTTGTACATCGTTTTGGCAGTCAGAACTACTGAACTTGACATCCGGATGTAGAACATGGAGCAGTGCTGGGACACGGGCAGTAAACTTCCTGGTACATTTGGTTTGCAACTGTGTTTTCTTCTTTTAATTCATTTCACTTGAAACATGAATGAACAAAAACAGAAAACCTTTTTTTTTTCATCTGTCAGGTTGAAATTTGATGTAGTGTATATATTTGCCAAGATAGTCCTAATGGCTCATTTGTTAAAACATGTGATGACTTATGCCAGTAATTGCTTTCGCTGTGATAGAGGGGTAGGCTTTGTGTCTGTTCTGGATGTTAAGTTCTTCCCCAGCTACACTGTAAGCTCCTGGCGGGCAGGGCTGTGTGGCTCATTGCACAGCGGATCTCTAATACCCATGAAAGGTGGCCAGATGATGTTTGTGATTGTGTGGCTGCTTGAAGAGGGCTGATACTGTGAGCTGAATCAGCAGTAAGTATTAGTCTTTTTGGACTATTAAGTTCTTTAAAAAGATTATAGCTCTCTCAGGTTTGAATGTACTTTGGCCTATTTGTATGTGTTTTTTTAAAAAAAAATAAAATTGATTTAAAATCAATTTTGATTTTAAAGATTTTGTGTCGTTTTTGAAGACTTGAGAGATGCCCAAGAATATTCTTATTTGTAGATGGAACTGTGGCTTTAAAATACATTTATCAATCTTCCTTCTTGAAGATGTGTTGGAAATTTGGCTTTCATCATATAATTCCAAATAAAAGATGTTTGGTGTTAATCCAGCATATAGCGGTGGCAATCATTCATGTTTTCCTGATTCTACTGTAAAAAATAAGTAATTTCTTATAGCAAGGATGCCCAAGCTTTTGATCTTAAATGAGTTTTCTGCTTATTAAAAAACTTAATTTGATATAAACTTCCTACCTTGTGCTCTGGAGGGACAACTGAAATGACTTACTCAAGGATCAACCAGTCTAAGGAAATATCAGGTATCCATTGGTTTCAGCTGACCAGGAAGATTCTGGGAGAAAGTGAATGAATGTTTGTTAGAGGAATACAAATACAACCTCTTAAGTTATTTTATAATTTAGGGCTAAATATAGACCTCAAACTTGTATATCTTGTTGACCTTCAAATGGTGATTTGAAAAGTATGTGGCTAAAATGAAGAAGATAAAATTTGGCAGGCTGCACCGTGGAAATACTTTGTCCTGAACAAGATGTTTTCTGAAGGACCAAAGAATGGTCATCTGATTTACAAATTGCTTTTTTTTTTTTTTTTTTTTGCTAATGTATAAGCAGATTTTCTCTATGGATTTAAAATTATGTCTAGTGCACACAAATCAGACAGTTGTGTGTGGTAGTTTGACCTTCTCTGCTCCCTTGCCTTGAAGTTGAAAAACCCTGTCCCCTAACCAGGGTGGGAGCAAGGTGTATCATTTTAAGCCTGTTAAAATATCCAGGGGCCATAGTCTTAACTTGTAAGTAGCAATAGAGGACATTTATTGTTTCTGTTTACTTAGCACTCCTACAGTGCCTTTTGGGGAACCCCTCTTTGCACATTTCATGTAGTTCTGGGGACCCATAGGTAAAGGCATACATATACAGTGGGGCCTTGACTTACGAGTTTAATTCGTTCTGAGACCGAGCTCGTTAAGGAGCTCGTTAACTCAAATTACTCTATCAACTCAATGCAAAAAATCGGCCAAGAGATAGCTGGTATCTCAAAAAACTCGTTAGTCGGGACACTTGTAAGTCAAAGCCCCACTGTATTGAAAGAAAAAGGGAATTGAAAGTTTCAAATAGATTACAGAGAAGTAACAGCTATTTTTGCAAAGAAGCCATGAGGGAAATGAGGACAAATAAGGACATGATGATCCACATTTTAGGAATGCATTTTAGTCACATCTTAGCAGAGGAAAGGGGCAAAGAAATGAGGAGAAACCTGTTGGAAGTGCTTTGGTATTAAATTGTTTTGAACATAAGCACAAAAGATGAGTCTGGTTAAGAAAGATTGTCCAGCCTGGCTGGTGTTGCTCAGTGGTTGAGCATTGACCTATGAACCAGGAGGCGACAGTTCAATTCCCATTCAGGGCTTAGGCCCAGTATGTACCTCAGTTTTCTGCAACTTTGTCTCTGCAGTGAGAGTCAGCAACATTAAGCCATAAAATCAGGCACTGAACTTGTGAAAGATGAGACACTAGAGGGAACACGTCTTTGTGTTCACATTATCTGAGACAAAGCAAAGAATTGGCAAGCATCTTATGTAAATACTACAAAAACAACCATGAGAAGTTTCTGCCAGCAACAAATGATAAACCATATAATAATGGATACTTGTTATTTCTAATTTCACATGTATGAAACATC